CTCTCTCTCCCTCTTTCTCCCCCCTCTCTCTTTCTCTTTGACATAGATATAGACACCTATAAAGGTAAATATTACCAGATCCAAATTTCCAACAGGATTGGATCAAGACCCTTTCCCTGTGGTCAAAGAATCAGATTGAACTATGCCAAATGGTTATTTGGAACCCACCACTGGGATTTGGGGATTTACAAGCTGAGCAGATGATTCTATACAGCCTTTTATGAAATTGCAGGTAAAATAGGGATAGCTTGTCTCCAGAGATATTCCTGAATGGTATCAGGAGACCACATGGATTTATTTTTTATAGGAAGTAGTGCTATATCCCAGAGAAAATGTACTAGGCACTCAAATTGACTTCCAGCTTGGCATGCCCTCTACAGCAACTGAGAGTTAAAGGTCTGAAAGCCCCCACAAAGTTCACCAACAGCACGAATGTATTTGAAACAGAAGAAACTGACAAGATCTTCTACTGGTGTAGGAAATTTTATACTGTGAGAACTTTCATGTTAAATTAAAAACACTGTCCTGAGCCAGGTGTGGTGGTGCATGCCTGTAACCCCAGCATTCAGGAGGCTGAGGTAGGAGGATGATTGTAAGTTTGAGGCCAGCCTGGTCTATAAAGTAAGTTCAAGGTTAGCCTGAACTGCATAATGAAACCCTGTCTCAAAAAAATAAAACAAAACATACTGTCCTGGGTCCCCTTATATTCATTCCAGATAAAGAACATGAAAACATATACAGAAGGCCTTGTAGAAATAGGCACCACACCAAACTACCAAATTTAAGCCCTAAGCATGCAAAGCCCATACCTTGATTTTAATGACTTGTCATGAGACTGTCATTTATGATGGTTCCACTAGGTGCCAGCAGCTATGCTTTTTTTAAGATAGTGAAATGTCCTGTTAATTTGAATAAATCTCAAAACAAATGCTGTGTTTGTTGATGTGAGGATGAAGACAGTGGCTAAACCACCGACTGTGTAACTCTTCTCTTTATGTAATTGACTTCAGTAAGGTTTATTTGCAGGCCTTTGACAAAGCCCAACACACACTCATGGTCAAAGCCTTACAGACAATTGGGATAGATGACTTCTAACTCAATCTGATAAAAGCCATCTATGACAATCCAACTGCAAACATAATTCTAAATAGGGAAAAACTGAAATCTTTTACTCTCAGATTGGGTACAAGACATGGATATCTTCTATCACCATTCCTATTCAATTTATTTTTGGAATCATTAGCTAAAGCCACTAGACAAGAGAGAGAAATAAAAGGAATAAGAATAGGTAAAGAAGAAGTTAAACTATCATTATTTTCAGATGGCATGATACTTTACTTGGAATACCCCAAAAATTCTGCCAAGAAGCTACTAGAATTAATATACAAATTCAGTAGCATAGCAGGATACAAAGTCAATACCCAAAAGTCAATAACATTCCTCTACACAGATAACACACTGAGAAATCAGAGAAACAATATCCTTTATAATAACACCACAAAAATTAAATACTTGGAAATTAATCTAACTAAAGAAGTAAAAGATTTATTCAGTGAAAATTACAGTACTCTGAAAAAAGAGATCAAAGAGGATTTCAGAAAATGGAAAGATATTCCTTGCTCCTGAATAGGAAGAACCAACATCGTGAAAATGGCCATACTCCCAAAATTGTTGCACAGATTTAATGAAATTCCTATCAATATACAACCAACTTACCTCACAGAGCTAGAGAAATCATTCCTAAAATTTACTTGGAACCAGAAAAGACCTAGAAAGCAAAGGCAATTCTGGGCAACAAAGACAAGGCAGTAGGCATTACAATTCCAGACTTGAAATTATACTACAAAACTGTGATAAAATCATCATGATATTGGCAAAAAATAGACCTGAGGATCAATGGAATAGATTAGAAGATGCAGATCAACTACAAACACACTCAGTTATCTTATCTTTGACAAAAGGGCCAAACATGCTCATTGGAAGAAAGCTAGCCTCTTTAATAAATGGTGCTGGAAAAATTGGCTCTCTACATGCCAAAAACTAAAACTAGACCTGGGTCTGTCACCATGCACTAAACTAAAGTCAAATGGATTAAAGATATAAACATTAAAACAGAAACACTAAATCTCCTTGGAAATCTTGAAGATATAGGGGTAGGCAAACAGTTCATGAACAAAAATCAAACTACACAGGAAATACTGGAAAGAATAAACAACTGGGATCTCCTCTTATTGAGAAGTTTCTGCACATCAAAAGAAATTACCAACAGAGAGAAAAGACAACCCACAAATTTGGAAAAAATCTTAACTAACAATCACTCAAACAAAGGTCTTCTATCTAGAACATATAAACAACTAAAAAACATTAGGGCCCCAAAATTTAAGGACCCAATCCAAAAATGGGCATCTGAGATGAATACACACTTCGCAGAGGAAGAAATAGAAGAGGCAAATAAATACAGGAAAAAATGTTCCACATCATTGGCCATTCAAGAAATGCAAATTCAAACAACACTGAGATACCATCTCACCCCAGAAAGAATGGCTATCATAAAGAAGTCAGCCAACAACAAATGTTGGAAAGACTGTGGGGAAAAAGGAA